TGGTAAAATTTTTTATTTTATTTTATTTTTTCGTGGGGGGTTTGGGGAGTATGGAAAATTCCACAGGCAGAAAAAAATTTAAGCTTCACTTCCCTACAACTGTCATAAGATCTTCGTGCATTGGGAGGTTTTCCATACCCCCCAGACCCCCCGGTACTACGTGTTCCTCAAAACGTTCAACCCAAAGGACTCTTTCCAAACAGTATGTTATGAGTGCTCTCGACGTCTTGGAGAAAACGTACTACCGGGAGGTCTGGGGGGTATGGAATACCAATACCCCCCAGTACACGAAGATCTTATGACAGTTGTAGGGAAGTGAAGCTTAAATTATTTTTTCGTGGGGGGTTTGGGGGGTATACAAAATTCCCCAGGCAGAACAAAATTTTAGCTTCACTTCCCTACAACTGTCATAAGATCTTCGTGCACTGGGGGGTATTCCATACCCCCCAGACCCCCCGGTACTACGTGTTCCTCAAAACGTTCAGCCCAAAGGACTCTTTCCCAACGGTATGTTATGAGTGTTCTCAACGTCTTGGGGAAAACGTAATCGGGGGGTCTGGGGGGGGGGGGTAGAATATCCCCCAGGCACGAAAAAATAATTTACAAGTTCCTTAAATGAAGGACGTACTGGCAAGTTTTAGGAAATGCACCCCAGAAACAAAAAAGTTAAAATTAGACTACATTAAAAGTAACTGGATCTGCACTTAGGGCGAGGCTTAAAGGCTTGCTTTTCCCTTTCTGGAGGGACGTACTGGACTATGAACCTACTAATTATTCGCTAACAATTAATTAGTGACTAAGTTGACTTCTTTATTTCACTATGTTAAAACACTTTTTTTTTGTTTTATGGGGTTGTCCTTTATTTTAAAAAATGCATCCCCCATAAATTAATTTAATTACTTCGTCTAATTATTAAATAATTAAAGGATAATGCACATCAACAGAACGGCCTCTATCTCTAGTCCCCATACATAAATGCAACTACTAAAAGTCGTCCAATTAGCAAGTAATTACCACCCGAATGCGATTAATTACAATTTCACTGCAAATAACGCGAATCAAAGATACAGCGATCCCGCCATTCCATGAAGGCAATCGCCTTAATTCAACGTTGTAAGAGGCACTTGAACGCTAATTACCGAAATTCGCTAGCGATACCGTGCGATTACTCGACTTAATTAACCTTCACGCAAACATATGACCGTGTAATTAATGCGCGCATACTTTACAATCGCAATTAAATGTGGAAAAAAAATGAAAACGAAAATTGCACAATGAAAGATTGTTACCTCGAAAAATCTCGATGAGTAATCCATTAATTAATTAACGCGTCCGTTATGGAAATTTACCACTAGCCAGATGTGTTGGCGCCTAAAAGTTTTAATTTCTGTAACGACACCGTTAGCCCAGTTGCGAGATGCGAGACGAATTTTTCTCACATAAGCCAGCCCATGTTAAATTTTCATTCAGGCGTTTTCCCTCCGCGATTCTCATGATCGTTATGCCACGATGAATGGAATAATTTCGCATACTTAATTACTGTAATGACAGCTGTTACAAATGTATCGACGCGTAAACTGTAGACAATTTGTAATTTAGGTCTGGCCCATTTACTGCGTTGTAATTAGGTTAAATTTTAGGTAGCCTAATTACTAATTAGGACCCTAGTTATCGGATACAGTTGACCTTTAATTTATGCTAATTGGAGTAATTAGTGGATTTAGTACCGGATACATTTTTTAACGTCGTCAATAAATATTAAAGTCGTGACTTAAAAGACGCGGGTACAAGAAAAAAGGTGGAATTTAATTTCTAATAATTTGTTACATAAAGTTGGGTACACCCACCCGCAATCTTAAAAACAATACACATCCCACCCGATTCTCGGATACAAACAGAAGAACTTCGCCGCTTTTCTACAGAGGAGTTCAACAAACTTGTACGTGAACTCGTACTCAATCGATTTTACAATCTTAACACAAAAGCTTAACGGATCGCCACAATTTTTTTTCCTCTCCGATTTTTGCGCCGCTTAGAAATTAAACAACGGGCGAAGTGGTTCCCGATTTGATTGACCCCAATTGATCGGGGAATCGAATCTGTTCCGTTCGCTAATTAATTAACAGTTTTTAATTCGTTGTTATCAGAAGCAGAGATTTGCTCTAAAGTGAATTAAACAAATTAACCAATGTAGCTGAAGCGAGTAATTAGAAATACCTTAATTTAATTAATTAAGTGTTCGTAATTGATCGAAGGTTTCTAAGGTCTATTAAACAGTTGAAAGTGGTCAGAATAGAAAGATTTGCTGATATGGCGTTACTTCATATTCACCAGGTTATGGGCCCAAGACACAAAAATTCAAGAATAGTGACATCAAGAGAATAAGAGAGTGAGAGACACTGAAATGGATTGAGACGGTAATTTACCGAAAATAAAAGTTCAGGTATCAGCTATTTACCTAATGCGAGAGTTGAACCTTGAAACCTGAACCTGAGAAATCCAATCCAACTACTGAGACCTGATGAGAAACGTAAATTCTGAAGAATTAAAATAAAGTTACCTTGGGGATAACAGCGGCCTGCGAAAATGATCAGATTTGAAGCATTAGCCATAAATCTAATCCAAAATTTGAACCTTATTACGTGACCTTAAAAGTGAAGCGCAAATCTTAAAACTTGAAGTTTAAGGTTCAACGACTAACGCCTTTAAATCCTAAAGATGGCGTCCTACGAAAATAATCAGATTTGAAGCATAACCCATAGGCCTAAGCCAAAAGTTATTATTTGAACCTTAAAAATGAAGCACAAATCTTGAAGTTTGGGGTTTAAAAATTTACACTGTAAATCCTAACGATCACGCCCTGCGAAAATAATCAGATTTGATGCATAAGCCATAAACCTAAGCCAAAACTTGGACCTTAAAAATGAAGCGCAAAGTTTGAGGTTCAAAAATTGACACCTGAATCTTAAAGCGCAAATCCTGGAAATGGCGTCATGCGAAAATTATCCTATTTGAAGCTAACGCAATTATTTGAACCTTGACGCCTGAATCAGACTTGACCTTAAAGCACGAAGTTGAACCTTGATACTTGAACCTTAAAAATGAAGCAAAAAGCTTGAAGTTTGAGGTTCAAAAAGTGAAAACTGGAGTTTAAAGTTTAGGTCCTAAAGATCACGCCCTACGAAAATAATCAGATTTGAAGCATTGAAGTCATACGCCTATGGCAAAAAGTTGAACCTTGACGCTTAAACCTTGAAAATAAAGTACAAAATTTAAATATTGGGACGTGACACCTGAAAACGTAAAACCTGCAGGTGGAGTCGAAGGCAAAAGTTAAACCTTGATACCTAAACCTTAAAAACGAAACACAAAACTGAATGAGGTGCTTCATTTCTAAGGTTCAGGTATCAAAGTTCAACTTTTGCCTTAGGTTTAAGGCCTCCATCTTCACGATTTACGCTTTAAGCTCCAGGTGTCAATTTTTGAACTGATATCTCAATAAGATTGAGGTTTCAGAAATTGACTTCTGAAGCTTAAAGTGTAAATCCTGATGATCACCTTGAGCCTTTAAAATATGCCGTAAAGCTTGCGGTTTGGGGATCAAAAATTAACACCTGCAGCTTAATAAAGTCAAATCTTGAAGGGTACGGATTGCGGAAATAATCATATTCGAACATAAGCCATTATCGTAAGGCAAAAAAGTTGAACCTTGATACCTGAATCTTGAAAATGAAACCCAAAGCTTAAAGCTAGAAGTTTAAGGTTCAAAAATTGACACCTATAAGTCCTGGAGATGGCGCTCTGCGAAAATAATCAAATTTGAAGCACAACGTAAGCCAAGAGTTGAACCTTGATAGTTGAAGCGCGCAAAGCTTCATGCCTGAGGTTCATCGTTCAAAAATTGACACCCTTATGACCACATAACTTGAGCTTTGATACCTGAACCTTAAAAATGAAGCCCAAATCTTGACGTTTGGGGTTCAAGGATGTACACTTGAAACCCTGCAGAATAATCAGGTTTGAAGAACCAATCAAAAGATGAAGCTTCAGGTTTAAGGTTTACACTTATTCATTATTTCAAAGCGAATTATCTGAGGCTGTTTGATACTGCAAGGATTAATTAAAGATGCTAAGTTTGAATACTTAAATTAACATAAATTACCGGGACTTCTAGAACCGAAGTTGAAACAATTTTCCGCGCCCAATGGATCAAACGAATTTTGGTCAGAACGATCTATGCAACCCTTTTTTCTTAATTACATGGAAAATTAGCATTTACAATAATATTTGATTAACCCAACCTGTTCTCGAGATCGATTATTTTCTTTGGGGGTTCTTAGCATCACAATTTAATTTTACTATCGTTTAACGATCCGCATTCCGCATTAACTGCATCCTTTACGGTTGTAATTTGCATTATGCCATAATAAAAATGTGTGATATGCGTAATTTGTTTCATGCAAATCATTACCGGTCCTAAAGCGGACCCTTGCGGAACTCCCTTCGCGCTATGGTTCACGAGAGGAAGTGACAGTTTCGCACGGATAGTCCTGCGGTTTGCGTCAGAAATGGAAATACGGGCGATCGTGAGTCATCCTTTTTGTTAAACTTGTAGGCGAGACGCAGCAATCGTACCGTAAAGGAGCCATTTCTTTCGCTTGTCTCGTGTGTAGGTGGCGCAACTCGCCTAACGCATCGTCGAAGTCACCTGCCATTTTGGGCCGGGGACCAATTATGAAAGTGAAACCGAAAGGCGATCGATGCCTTTTTTTGGACTCTCATAATTACGTTTAATCGATTTTTACTTAAATCGAGCCGCCAGGCCTTGGCTTCAATTACAACCGATACCTTAGAATTTCCAATGACCTCTTCCGAGCGATACGCTTTCGACGGGACGCGACATTTGTTTTTAAGGTAGTCTCGATTTCTCGTTCACCTTAAATGGCCTTTTCTACCGATTTGGGACCTCTTTTTATTGCGAAAAGAAAGTAGGTACTCACCTGTTCGATCACTAACTGCTCGAAGCTTTGACTGATGGCGTTTTTGATCGAATTACGTCTCTCCTGCTTGGAAGATGTTTATAATCGTTCTATTAAAAAGTCTCATTACGTGTAAAACTGGTTTATGCGCTATTATGGTAATGGGTACCGTATCAATAGGATTTGTGTGGGAAATTCTTGCCTCCAAGGCGAAGCAAAACCGATCACCGAAAACTGAGCGAGCAGAATCTCCAACGAGCTTATTGCTCGACCAAAACGAACATTGCCAAAGAGCAAAGGACCCGAGGACCAGAACTTTTGTCTGCCAAATTAGTCTACGCGAGACAATAATTAATTTACATTTGCATGCATTAAACATTGTAATGTAAATACGTGCGATTTCGTGGTCCGGTCGCTCACAGGCCATTCATCTTTGGAAATAGCTAAACCAAAAATAGAAAATAGTTACCCTTGGCTGCCATAAGCGGATTTATTCAATTCTCTTTCCTGACTTATTTTTCGAAAAATGGCTCTGGCTACCAGGAGAACATAATCCATGAAGATGTCTTTTCGTTCTGTTAAAAAGACCCTGGACTGTCTGAGTCCGGGTGATTGTTGCCAGTGACCCTGGCATTGGGGGGGGGGGGTCACCTAGGACCCTGACAACGGGGGAACAATTCCTAGGGCCTCAACACTGCCACCATCCCCTCAGGTTTGAAGAACGGGCAATCTGAGTTCAGCCACTGTTCCCTGTCCAGGAGAGTGACTCGGTCAGTAAGACAGCCCGGATCACCTCCCTTATTACGAGGAGGAATCGAATGTGAGGGTTTGCTCCCAGATCCGCCCGTGCCAAAGGCTGCTTCGATCCCTCCACTTGTCCCAATCATTTAGCCGTATGGAAGCTCTAGTCTCAGAAGTGCCTCCACGGCCAAAGTTGGCGTGATTTTCATGGGTCCAGTGACTCACAGAGTCTCCGTACCTTGCCCTTCCCACGAGTAGTGCGTAAATGCGGTCTCACCCGAGCAGAGCCGCGTGCCCAGGCCCACCCAGTCCTCGACAAAACTTTGTATGAGGAGAACATGATTTGCGGTGGGGTTTTCTGCCCCCAACTTGGGTAGTGCTTGAGTTTTGCTCTATGATCAAAATAACATTTTATTAGTATAATCCTGATGGAAGTGTTCCTGCTCCTAATTCATACAATATTCGTAAACTTTTTCTGGATACCAGAAGAACATAATAGTTGAGGAGGTTTTGTCCTATACTCAATAGACATTTACGTTTAAAATGTTGTATCAGGAGAGTATAGAACCCTCCTCGCTTTTCCATGGAATGCTAGAAAATATTCCACAGTTCTCTCAGGTTGCCAGGAGAACATAATCTATAAAACTTTCCTGTTGACAATATGCGATATGTTCACTAGAAGCATATTTAGTTTAAATTTCAAAACATTCCTTGGAAAATGCGATAAAAATTAATTGTATCGGAAGAACTCAACAGACTAGTAGGTCTTCCTGCTCATAATTCATGGGGTGTTTCTTGGCGAAAGTGTTGTCGATTGTCTCTGGTTAACAGGAGAGTATAATCCAAGCTAATGAGACATGTTCCAAAATTTTCTTAGAAAATGGTATCAGGAGGTATTCCTGCTCCCTAATTTATGGAGTGTTAGTTGCAAACTTTATTTGGCTACCAGAGAACATAATTCAGGAGGAGGTCTTCCATCAAAATAACTTAATATATGAGGGTGTGTCCCTCCTCCAGGAGACAGGAGAACATAATCTATGAGGAGGTTTTTTTCTATCCGCGAAATATTCCAGCACTAGGAAAAAATTTGTATCTGTAAAACGTAAAGGAAAGTGTTGTAAACTTCCTATGGTCACCAAAAGAACATAATCCATGAGGAGGTTTTGTTCTATGCTCATGAGAAATGTCATTAACTTATTGACGTTAATATTTTGCTCATGTTTAATGTAGTGTTTGTAACAAAATTCTCTGGCTACCAGGAGATCATAATCTATTAAGTTGTAAACTTCTTCTGGATACCAGAGCAACATAATTTACGAGGAGATCTAGTTCTATGTCCAAGGAAAATATTTTCGTTCAATATTTTGTATCAGGAGAATGTAAGAAATGTTCGGGGAAGTGTCCCCCTTTGAGTTTGTTTCTATACCCAAGAGCAACGTTCCAACACAATTTTTTTTAAATTGTATCAGAAAAATGTAATATATGAGGGGGGTGTTCTTGCTCATAATTCATAAAGTGCCTTGAAATTTTGTCTGGCTAACAGGAGAACATATTCTACGATTAGGTCTTTTTGCTCCACCATTATTTTCTAAACAAAAATCAGGATGCGATGGCGTGTCCCTGGTCATTATTCATAGAGTGCTAATTTCAATTTTTTCTGGCTACCAGGAGAACATATAATATGAGGAGGTCTATTTTTATGCTCAAGAGAAATGTTCCGACACAATATAATATACTATCCTGATCATAGTTCATAAACTCTGTTAACAAAATATAGAAAATTTGCTGTGGCTACCTGGCCAAAATAATGGTGTTTCTGTCCCTAATTCATGGCGTGGGAGTTAGGAAAATGTTTAAACTTTATTTGGCTACCAGGAGAACATAATTCAGGAGGAGGTCTTGTTTTATGCTCAAGAGAATTGTGCCAACACAATTTTTTTTAATTATATCAGGAGAGCATGGTATAAGAGGGAGGTTTTCCTACTCATAATTCACAAACTGCCTGTTAAAAAAGTATTGAAAATTTTTTGTGGCTATCAGGAGAAAATTACGGTGTTCCTGTGCCTAACTCATGAAGTGTCAGTTAGGAAAATGTAAACCTTATTTGGCTACCAAGAGGACGTAATTCACGAGGAGGTCTTGTTTCATATGATCTAGTGCAATGTTCCGACACAATTTTATTAAATTATATCAGGAGAACATAATATCCGAAGGGGTGTCGTGTTCGATCAATTCATAATCTTTGTGTTAAAAAAATATTGAACATTTTCTGTGGCTACCAGGAGAAAATAATGGTGTTCCTTTGAGTGCCAGTTAGGGAAATGTTGAAACTTTATGTAGCTACCAAAAAAACACAATTCCGGAGATCTTGTTCTATCTCGTGTTCCATGCTCAAGAAAAAGGTCATCAACTTTTGTACGATTAAAATTAAAATCAGGAGAACATAATGTGCGACTGTATGTTGCTGCTCATAATTGTTAAAACAATTGAAAATTTTCATTGTCTACCAGGAGAACATAATCTATGAGGAGGTATTTTACTATGCTAATACATTTTTCTAAAAAAATGTTGTATCTAGCAGAAAGTTATATGCGGTGGGATGTTTTATAGGGAAATGTTGTAAACATTCTCTAGCTACCAAGAGCAATTAATGTTCAATCAATTTGCTTTCGTTTAAACTTTTTCCATCAGGAGAATATAGTATGCGAGTGTGTTTTTGCTCATCAGTCATGGAGTATATTAAAAAATATTTAAATTTTCTCTGACTCCCAGGAGAATATAAGCTATAAGGTCTTTTTTATGCTCAATAGGAATTTTCCAACACTTTTTTCTTTAAAAATTTGTATCAAAAGGACGTATTGTGAGGGAGTGTTCCGGAAACGTCTGATAACAAAAATTTGATAGTTCTGTTGCTACCAGGAGAAAATAGGTCTCAAGAAAAATTTCATCAACTTATTTACGTTAAAATTTTCTATCAGGTGGATATAATGTATAGACAGAGTTTCTGCCAGAAAAATTCTGAAAATCTTTCTGGTTAGCAGGAAAACGTAATCTGTGAGATCTTTTTCTATGCTCAACACTATTTTCTGAGAAAAATTGTATCGGGAGGACGTAATGTGCGATTGGGTGTCCAGGCTCATTATTCATGGATTTTTGGAGGCATATTGTAAGTTTTCTCTGGCGACCAGGGGAACATACTCCATGAAAAGGTTTTATTCTATGCTCAAGAGAAATGTCATAACCGTATATGTTAAAATTTTGTATCAGAAGAATATATCGTACGAGTGTGTGTTCTTGCTCATGGAGTCTCCGTTAAACAAATATAGAATTTTCTCTGGCTACCAGGAGAACATGATCCGAAAGGAGGTTTTGTTCTATGTTCAAAAGAAATGTTTTCCTTTATAATTTCGTATCGGGTTTGTGTTTATGGCTAACAGGAGAACATAATCTATGAGCATCTTTGTATGAGCACGAGAAATGTTCACCACCATCTATCAGGAGACCGTGATATACTTGGGTGTTCCTGCGTCTTTATTGGCTATCAAGGGAACATACATCATGGGGAGGTATTGTTATGCGCTTAAGAGAAGTGTTTCCATCTACTTGATGTCATTTAAAATTGTGTATCAGGAGAATATAATGTGTGGATTATTTTTAAAGAAATATATTTAAAGTTTTCTGTGGCTACCAGAAGGATAATTCGGTTTTCTGTTATCCTCAAGAAGAATTTTAAAAAGTGTATCAGGAAAACATGTAAAAAATTTGCAGGCATAGATTTTAAAATTCGACCATTATTGAATTGATTGAAAATCCAAAGCGCGTATCTGTTCTGATGCAAAAAATATTTTTGTTTCTTTAATTTTTTAAGGCCTAAGGGCGTATTTCTTGCTTCTTCTCGAAAATCCAGTAATGCGAAGAGCGTCATTGTGTTTCATCAAATATTTTTGGTTTTTTAATTTTTGATTATTTGCGTGCATCTCAAAAAAATTTAAGAATAAGAAAAAAATATTATTTTTTATTCTTTAAAGTATCACGAGCCTTTAAAGAATCTAAAAATGGAACTGCTTTTGGTAAAAATGGATTGGACACTGGAGCTCAGGAATTTTTAAAAAAACTGCAAAAATAGGTTATCAAAATAGGCAATTATTAAGATACTTGCTCTTTTTGGGTTGTATCTTGTACACTTTTCCCTGACTCCGAGATTTTTGCTGAAATCTGCAGGTTTTTTAAGTTTTTGCTGAGACGCTGACAGGGAGGGGGAAGTACAAAATTTGGGGTATCAGGCTATTAGAAATATACGAGGTACGTTCAGGAAATTGCAATTGGC